ATCAAAGCATCATGAAAACCAGACTCTGCTGCCAAATAAAGTGGTGTCTCCCCAGCCTTATTGGCTGGGAGGTCGTGTTCAGGATCTAGTAATAATTTCACCAACATCCTGACAATGTCAATGTGTCCACCTCTCACGGCCTTGTGCAAGGCCGTATCTCCAATGTCATCCGTCATCCTAACGAGTATTGTCTCCTCTCCTCCTAAGCTAAGTAGTTTACTCACCACTTCACTTCGTCCTAAATTAGCTGCAATGTGAAGCGCAGTTTCGTTTTTCTTATTCTTATAGCATAATAATGCCGGGGTAATCTTAAGGACTTTTCCCACGAAACCTCGTTGGCCAAAGAGAGCTGCCACATGGAGGATTGTATTTCCCTTTGGAGTGACTTGGTAACCATTTTCTTCCTCCCTTTTCAGATAATCAGCAAGTGAAAAATTACCATCTTCCATAGTACGCCCTTTCTTTGCAGCATTGTACATTCTTGGATCCATTATGTGTGGATATCCAAGGTGTCACAAAAGTCTTCCCTTATTTCTTAAATTCTGTGGCCGATCAAACAATGTCAGATAAGTTGAGACAGATGAATTATCTAATTAAGTCAAAAGCATTGTACATTGCAGTTATGCAATTTTTCAAATCTTACATACTCATAAATATGTTCATGTACACCTACAAAGCACGTATCCAGAGACTACTTGGTTATAGAGAATCACAATCACGAAGAGGGCAAGAGGCCCTGTAATACTCTGGACTCATGCACTTTAGAACATAAAGTTTCTTTAGTGAACTTAAGCATATTGCTTATGAAAAACTTTAATTTTTTTACTAAGTTTATTTTTCTTTCCGATGTACCAAAAGTAATTTGTTGGGTTTTATTTGCCCTGAATTTCTTACCATAAATAGGTTTTCCTTTTAGGAAAAGGTTTTAATATTTTACTAGTCCTTTTCTTGTAGGAAAGGTTTAGGACTTTATAAATATAAGTTTGTTCCTTCTAACTTAATCAGCATTCACAATGTAGTCTTAAGGGCTTTGAGAGTTTTGGTTAGGGGGAGAATTTGTGGGTCACAAGCTTGATACGTTATCACTTGTGCGAACCTCCCATGTATTCTGAGTGAATTGGTTGAGGTTATTTCTCTCTATATTTTGTACTGTCATGTTTATATAGTGGATTGCTCATCTCCTTTGTGGACGTAGGTCAATTGACCGAACCACGTTAAATCTGTCTCTTCTGGTGTGTTTCTCGTTTGTCTTCTTACTCGTGGTCTTTCGAGGTTTGCTTTGCTAACTTTCGCATTACACCTGCTTATTTCGATCCTAACAAGTGGTATCAGAGTCATGGTTCAATGATGGAACTAGGTTACAGATGGGTGTTCATCTTGGCGGGTGTAGTTCTAGTCGCAACCTTTTTGACAGTAATGAAGATCTCTGTTGGAGAAATTGTTTCAGAGAGGTTCTCTGTGTCGAGACGTAGATTTGATGGAGGAGATTATGGAGAAGAGATGCAAGATCCTAAAGATTATGTGAAGAAGGTGGACAAATTTATTTTGTCAGAAATTCGGGCCAAGGGGGAGATTTGTTGGGTTTTATTTGCCCTGAATTTCTTACCATAAATAGGTTTTCCTTTTAGGAAAAGTTTTTAATATTTTACTAGTCCTTTTCTTGTAGGAAAGGTTTAGGACTTTATAAATATAGGTTTGTTCCTTCTAACTTAATCAGCATTCACAATGTAGTCTTAAGGGCTTTGAGAGTTTTGGTTAGGGGGAGAATTTGTGGGTCACAAGCTTGATACGTTATCACTTGTGTGAACCTCCCATGTATTCTGAGTGAATTGGTTGAGGTTATTTCTCTCTATATTTTGTACTCTCATGTTTATATAGTGGATTGCTCATCTCCTTTGTGGACGTAGGTCAATTGACCGAACCACGTTAAATCTGTCTCTTCTGGTGTGTTTCTCGTTTGTCTTCTTACTCGTGGTCTTTCGAGGTTTGCTTTGCTAACTTTCGCATTACACCTGCTTATTTCGATCCTAACATAATTATGCATAACACGATCCAAAAATAAGATCAACAATCTAAATGAATAAAGGGGATTGCAAAAGTTAAGTCTAGTAGTCACCAACCAATGACTCAAACTGAAAATTCAAAGGGAAAAAACCTCAGCTTTTTTCAAGTAAGAGAAATTAAATGACATTTCATACCTTCTACAACATTAATAAAACAAGATTAAAAAGTTTTTTTTTTTTTTTAAACTTCACCAAATAAAATTCACACAACCAAATCAAAAAAGAGAAAATAGTACACAACAAAGATAAATATACATATTTTCTCACTTCAAGATAAAAATACAATCTTTATCAACACCATGTACTAAAAATTGAATCTTTAACTCATATTCATTCACAAAAAGTAAACTCCACATGGAAAAAAATAAGTATTTAGGTAAAAAACCCAGCATGGGAAAACTATCAGCATACCTTTTTTTCTTCTTCTTCTCGTTTCTCTACAAGTCTAAAACCCAACAAAGACTCTTTGATTCCTTAGTTGGTAAGAACATATCACAAGACAATAATTTCTTATGTCATTCTCACATATGACTCAATTAGGGAATTTTGATGTTTAATTATCACATGTTCACACACGTGGCATACTGTTATTGGCTATGAAATTGATAGGATGGACCCAACCATTGGATTATTATGATTAAGAAAGGAAGTGAGACAATAGGACGTAAAAAAATCAAAGCAATCAAAGTGGACAAAGAAAATCGTCCAAAAAAATTTGTTTTTACTTTTATGTCTTCTTTTGCGATGGATCTTTTTTATATATAAAATATCTAAACATGGTCATTTTTATCCTATTCAAATTGTAATTGGTCAAAAGAGATTATTTTAACATAAAAAAAATGGACATCAGAAGAGATTGCAAGTATTTGTTGGATGCCACCAAGATGAATATCATTCATATCCGGAGAGAAGGAAACAAAGGTTTTCTGACAGATGAAGAAGACTTGTTGATATAGGATGATGTGATTATGATCATCTAATTTTCGATCGAACCTATGTTTTACACTAATTTAATGTATCTTTCGGGTCTAATCTTGACATTTTGACCTTTTATTTTAGTAGGTTTTATTTGAGGAAAAAAGAAAATTACAAACCAAAAAAAAATAAGTTTTGCATTGTTTGATTTCTAAAACATGAAATAAATTATGAAGTTCTCAAAATAATGTTTTTCATCTAGTCTAGTTTAAGTTGAGAGTCTTTAATATTTAAATGTAGGAAATTTCATAAACAACCATAGTTTGGATAAGAATTACCATTCTATATTTTTCAAGTTCAACACAAATTCACTAAATAATCTTAAACATACAAAAAAGTACTTATTTTGCACTTAATATTTATACTAGATCATATAATCTAGCCATAATTTATATATATTTGGGCCAAGCATTTGGTGGCAACTTGGGCATGACTACAAAGTATGTTTGTTAGGTCAATGGGACAAAAAAGCAAGAGTTTTTAAGAGTTTCTTCTTGCTTTGCTCTGGTTCATCAAATTTGGAATACAATTACCAATCTATACTACCCCATTGACAAACTGTATTCTTGAACAAAAGATAGTTGGTTTGTTGACAATTAAGTAATCTAACAAAATAATTTAAGTTAGAAGAAACAAAAAAAAAGGCAATATTGTGATTTTACAAGTGGAGTCTGAGGAGCATGGTGCGTATGTAGTCTTATTGTTATCTTGTGAATGTAGAAAGGATGTTTTCAATAGACCCTCGGCTCAAATAAAACATATTAAAAATCAAGCATGCAAAACAAATATAGTATCAAAGAAATCATCCTTGAAACAACCTAGAAGAGACCAAGTAACAATAAATAATACCATAACTAAAGCAAAACAAACAACAAATAAAACTAAAATTGAAGAATATAATAAGATGGTTTTAGAGTAATTATAAATATAATGATAAGTATGTTAAACAACACTCGACTACCTATTGACCTTCTTCTAACGTTCGATCTTCATATCTTCCTATCTAGGTCATATGCTTAGTCAGCTTCGAGTGAGTCATGTGTTGTCTAATTGCCTCTATTTCAAAAACTTTTTTAGCCTACCTCTACCTCTCCTTATACCTTCTATAGTCAGTCTCTCGTATCTCATCAATGGGGCATCTATGCATCTTCTCTTCACATGCTAGAACCATCTCAGTCTCATCTCCCTCATCTTGTCCACCACGGAATCCATTCCCACCTTATCATGAATAGTTTCGTTCCTAATCCTATCTCTCCTAATATATCCACATATTCATCTCAACATTCTCATTTCCGGGACGCTCATATTCTTGAATTGCGGGTTCTTGACCGACCAACACTCTATCCCATATAATACGACAGATACGATCACCATTTTATATAACTTACCTTTAAAGTTTGGTGGCACATTCTTATCACATAAGACATTGGATGCAGACTTCCATTTCACCTATCCTATTTCAGTACGATCTGTAACATCATCGTCAATCTCTCCATTTTCTTGAATTATTGACCCCAAATACTTGAAATTTCTCTTGATGACTTAGATATCAATCCTTACTTCCAAATCTACCACTTAAATCGTGTCAATAATCTTACTCGTGCTCAATCTAAACCTTTAGACTTTAGGGTGCTAGAACATAAAAAGACATCTAAGATGAACTCATAAACGGAGCTATCTAGCTTCAATTAGTGAATTTTCTAGTGATCAAAAATCAATTACAAGTACCAAACTTGTCATTCTGGACCTTTTTATCCCTTGTGTTTATCATTTAAAAAGGAGCTTACCAGTCAAATATTGAATGGGCAGGTGGCTCTTGGTTAAAATGAATTGAGTTTAATATCTTTTATTTTTGGCTTAAAAAATAAGATTAAGTGGCTGAATATATCACTTTCCGCTTTAAATGACATTTTTTTTTAAAAATAATAAAAGATGCTATTACCTAAGTTGGTGACTTCCATTGCACTTAAAACGAGGTTAATGAACGATCAATAAGGCTCATGGCTTAGACTAGTGACTTCTATTAAACTTTGGAGGGGTGCCCGCCTAAAGCTAACCCAAGCGGTTGAACTTGTAACATAATTTGTGACAGTGCCGGCCTGCATTGGCACGGCCCTACTCCAAAAAGGGTGGGGAAAAAAGACTTTGTTCATTTATTTTTAATAACGTTGTTAACTATTCAAACAATGAACTCTTTTTGTATATTTCACTGTTTCTTTAATTGGATTCATTCTATGTACTAGTTCGAGACATGGAAATAGCCTGTTGGAAAATGCAAGATAAGATTTGTGGTCCGATATTTCCTCAAATTTCGTACGCAACGAAAGCTCAGTACACTAGATTGTTTCTTCAAATATCATGGACAGCCTTCATTTTCATAGACAGACCTTTTTCATAATTGATATGTGTTCCAGTTGTCAATTCTAGTTGATTTGATTGAAAGAAATAAAGAATTGCTGTAAATATCAAATCATTGGTGATGTTCCTTTTTGTTCCATTGTTGATGACATTTAATATTGTGAGAAATAAGCATAAATACAAGAACATTCCTTGTTATTTTTGTGAAAACAAAATTGGAATAATCATGTGAAGTATCATCAGTATATATATATAACTTGGTTGATGATAGTACACGCTATCACAAACTTGTTCATAAATTCCTACTCATAACCCTATCCATAAAAAAAAAAATCTCTTTAATATCAATGGTTCACATACACAAACTTTTTCAAATAAATTGTAATATAACTTTTTTTTAAAAATAATGGGGGTCAAAGTCAAATTCAAATACTGTAACTCAGGATGAACCTTTATCGATAAAAGAAAGGAATAACGATGAAAGCATTGTTACATTATCAAAGGAAATCATTTGAGTTTTTTGATATCAAAGGAAATCATTGTTACATTGTATATTTGTCGAGAAATCTATTTAAATATGTACATATAAAATGATAAACTTTAAATTCTGACTTTATCTCTGGTTCTTAGCTAGGAAATATCACAATGAGGCTCCAAATTTCTCAAACAGGGTCAATCTGTTTTCTGCTAGTCTAGATTTGAAAGCAGATTTTTTGTACTCAAACCATGTAAACTCTTTGTACAAGCTGCTTTCTTCTCCTTCCATTAGTGATGGCAATGGTGCTATTTTTTCACTCAATGGTGGTCCTCCAAAATATATCATTGATAATCTTGATTTCAAACTGTTTGTCAATACCCTATGCTTTACACTCTTAAACCTTCCATTAGTCATCACCTGCACGCAAATTCAGGATTTTTAGTTTATGAGCAATGAACGATCATAAAACTTCGACTATTTCATTAGACAAGTACAAAATTTGATGAGTGTATGTTATGTACCTGCAATGAGTCGCCAACATTGATGAAAAATGAATTCTGATCAGGTGGCACGGAAAACCAGTTGCCATTTTTGAGTAAAATTTGAAGGCCGGAAGTGTTGTTGGATCTTAAAACCGATATGATTTGTGGATCGGTATGTTTTCCAAATCCAATCAAATTTTTGGCATTGAATTCTTGAATATCAGGACATGGAGGATAATGATTCAGGCGGAAAACAGAGTCACTCTTTTCATCCATCAAAAGCTTACTGAAAACATTCGTCGGATGAATCTTTAATCCCTCCGCCAACTTTTCAAGAATCTCACATGACATTTTCTTCACTGCTGACACATAATCATTTACCTCAGCTCTGCAATAACAATAACAGAAATCAAGAAATGATAAAAACAAGAATCGAAATTTAAAGACATCACTCTGTTTTCCCCTGTTTTACTCTGTTTTAATGACTTACCGAATGTTTTCTGGATTTACACCTAATACAGATGCGAATTTCTGGTAATTGAATTCAGAGTTTGTTGAAAGGAGAATGTATTCAACCCAACCGATATCGCCACTTTGTCCGATTTGTTTATTGCCATAACCAAAAGGGTCAGCAGGCCCTGCTTTTAGCTTCTCAGAGAGGGGAGAGGAAAAGAATTTAATGGCTTCGGATTCAAGTTTACTTATGAATTCCATAGGAACATCATGGTTTACAACTTTAAAGAATCCGAATTCTTCGCAGGCCTTAACGATGAGGTTCTTGGAGTCGGGTTTAGAGAGGTCTATCACAGGAATATCATTGAAGAAAGAGGGGGATTTGCAAGAGTTGATGATTATTGGTAAGTGATCAATGTCTGGTTCTGTTAAAACCACCATTGTTATTTTTTTGATGAAATTTACAATGGTAGAAGAAGAATAACAATGAAAATATCAAAAGTTTGGGTGTTACTATCTAAGACAGTATTTCTTGTTTCTTAATACAACTGTTGGAACTTAGTTGTAGACTTGTAGTTGTGAACACTCTGAAACAACTCCTGCTGTCCTATTTATAGGACTCTCCAAGTCCAAAATTCCAATAAATTTAAATAAATAATATATTCAATATAATCTTATAAGTGAATTATGAAAAATAATAAAATATATGCAAATCATATCTTTGCTGTGGATAGAAAGCTAATAACCTAGATATTCTTTACTTTGAATATTACGTATTTTATCATATTTTGGCATGTCCAGGTATATCAAGATTCATGGTCAAATTTGTTCTAGATATATTATATCTAAGTGGATTCGCATGTATCTGGGATACATAAAAAAATATATGTCGTCTCTCTCCTTATTTTAAAGTATCTGGTAGCAAAAATACATGTATTTAAATGTATCTTTCTCAGTATATGATAGGAAACTCTTAATTAGAGCTAAGATACGTAATATTTCAAAAGTATAAATAATAATATTATATATGATAGTGAATATGTTTAATTATATAATTTCTTCAATAATGTAAAGTCTAAAAAGAATATGATACATGTAGACCTTATCCTAATTGTGGATAGAAAGATTATAATAGAGCAAAGTCTAAAAAGGATAAAATAAATACAAATCTTATCTTAATTAAGTAATCGCAGATAGAAAGGTTATAATAAAATATAGTCTGAAAAGAATAGGATATACGTCGATCTTATCCTTAGATAGAAATGCTATGATAAATTAGAGGAAAAGAATTGCCTAATTATTTTTTCTTTGTCATCCCTCATCATAAACAAATAGTGTAATGCGAGAAAAAGAAAAGGGTTGGAGGATTTTTTTAGAGTTGATTTGTAAATGAATTCATAGTATTGATATTTGTGGAAAATATCTAGAAAAAAATAATGTCAAAGATATTGTCATAACGTATTCAAAATATATCAAACTATTAACATAAAAATTGAAATTAAGCTAGCTCATTCATACTTGTCACAATTGATATACTTGATGTTTGTATGAAGGGATCAACCTCTATCAATAATAAAAATTATTTTGATTTTAAACTTCTCGTATTAATCCTGATAAAATGATTCATAGTCAACCAAATTTTAGAATTTTGTTTTAAATGTAACAAATTTCAAATGTTTGTTTTTACTTTTTCAAATTTTATGACTAATTAAACATCACCTAAATTGGATAGCATAAGTAATAATTTCCAACATTGAGGAGGATTAAGATAATTTGCTCTTTTTAACTTAGTACTATGTGGGTGAGTGCAATGGACGGTGGACCTAGGATTGACAATATTGTAGAAATGTGTACCAAGATTAAATATGTTCAACGACGTGGATTGTGGTGAGATAGTTAATTAGACGATAAATTTATTTTTTTGATAATGAAAAAAACTTACTATATTCAGTGTGTGAATCCGAATTAATCAATGAAATTTCAATGTATATATATCGAACACCAATTGAATATAAAAAAAGAGAACACTATTATTTTTTCTTTTTCTCTTTGCGTACTTCTTTTCTTTTCTGAGTCACGATTACTAGATAAATTGTCTTGGTGATCAGTTGGAATAAAAAAAAAAGGGTACCCTTTCCCCACAAAACAATTGATTCATGAACCAATAAGGGCTTTACATGGCACCCTTTATACTAGTTTTTAATAATGGGAAAGGATTATAATATAATTAACGTTTGTGATCTATCTTATATATATATGACATTTGGGAACCTATTGGCTCGTAGAAGTCCCAAATATTATCTTATGTATCAAATATATACCCTCGTAAAAGTACTAGTTTAAAAAGGTCTAAATAGTCCCATCGCACTAATGGGTAGAAGTCGTATGATATTTAGATGAGTCCACAGTCAAAAGGGTAAAAATAAATTGTCAAAATCTCAAAAGGGTACATCAAATTTTTTAAAACCAAAAGGGCAAAATTGCTCTGACGAAGCGATTTTTCTCTGACACAATGACGAAAAATCGCTGCTCTTTTTTTTTAAAAAATTAAAAATCGTTGTTGTGGCAGCGATTTTAAGTCGGAATTTTTTTTCCTTACACATCGCTGCAGGGGCAGCGTTTTTCATGCCTGGTGCTATTATTTTCATGCCTATTCATAATTATTAATAATATAAAAATGATAAACAAGACGGACAGTATACTCAATAAAATTGTTGTAGTATGAGGGAAATTGAATTATATATCATAAATAATAATAAAAGAATATTAATTTTTTTTTAAAAAAAACCTTTAGCAGCGATTTTGAAGAAAAAAAGTTTTTCTTTTTTGAGAAAATCACTGCCTTTTTTATTTTTTTTCCGTCAGGAGCGATTTTCTTCTGACAAAAGTTGTCGTTCGTTAAAAAAATAAAAATCGCTGCTAAGATCCAGCGATTTTCTCAAAAAGAAAATTTTTTTCTTCAAAATCACCTGCTATAGCAGCGATTTTGGTTAAGAATTTGAAAATAAAAAAAGTTTTTTTTTATTTAATATTTTTTTATTATTATTTATGATATATAATTCAATTTTTCTCATGCTTCAATAATTTTATTGAGTATACTGTCCGTCTTGTTTATCATTTTTATATTATTAATAATTAACAATAGGCATGAAAATAATAGCACTAGGCATGAAAAACACTGCCCCTGCAGCGATGTGTAAGGGGGAAAAAAAATTGACTTTGGCAGCGATTTTTAAATTAAAAAAAAAAATTCTTACAAAATCACTGCTAGGGCAGCAATTTTTCGTCATTGTGTCAGAGGAAAATCGCTTCGTCAGAAGCGATTTTACCCTTTTGGTTTTAAAAAAAA